TTTGTTTTTGTTTTAAATTCCATTAATAGCTACCAGAAACCACAACATATATATTTTAACCCTGATCAAATAAATTCTCTTTATATTTCTGTTTACATTTAAAAAGCTTGGTCTTTAATTCCATCAAATAATATCCTACAAGTTGATTTATCATTCTCTCTTTGTTTCCTCTCAGAAACTGCTTCAGTAGTTTAACAGGTTCCTTTTGTAAATCCAAGACAGGAAGGCTATTCAAGTGACTCTTATTATTATTATTATTATCAGCCAATTTCATTTGTAAATCCATTGTGGTATCTTTTTCCATATCACTCTTATAATCTGTCATTTTTGAATCTCTTTTCAAATCCACATCATCTTTTTCATGTCACTGTTGTAGGGTGGCATTTTTTTGGAATCCATTTTGAAATCCACATTCAAGTCAGTCTCAGTCTCTATTTTGTCCAGTAGAATCTGTTCCTCTTCTGTAGCCTCTGTTAGCTCCATTTTATAGTAGCAGACAATCTTGAAAGTAATTTCTGAGAGCATTGTTCCCAGACAGCCTTAATTTCTTCTATAGGTAATGCTCCGCTGTATTAATAGGTCTCTTCTCCTTTAAATGTAGTCTTTAGTGCTCTCTGGTTCCCTAGTCAACCTTCAAAGTCCCATGTTATCGTATGTATGTTTTCCAATCAGCAAAACTTTCCCACGGGAGGATTTCTTACAGTTAATTTCAAAGTCTTCATATATACTTTTATACAATTTTGAACAACCCACAGGAGATATTCTTTGTCCTGATCACCAGCCATGAGAGCTCAATTAACGTGATACCAGTTACGGCATTTTCTTGGGAGTGTTTGGGGGAACAAAGGTGATACGAGCAATGGGATGCGTAGGGCCAATGATCACTTAGGTCCCAACGTAGGATATCCTTTAGCGGTCTGGCTGAGGGCTGCATCTCAGTTTTGGAAAGGTTTGGCACCTCTTTCTTTAAGATAAGCAATTTAGCCTTTCATTTTTTTTTTTTTTGCTAGTCTTATCTGACTTTGACTTATCTCACTCTGTCTCATCTGACACGGAATGCTACCTAGAAATTGGTGAGCTTTGTACTAGAAGCTAATATTACAAATGATGTCTTTAGAAAATGGATGAAAAGAAAGTGACATTTAAAAAATACAAATGTAGGAGAAAACCAAATGAATAGATTTGCCTTTCCAAGCAGACAGATTTAAGGGAGATTTTCTCCTTAAAGTCTAGCTGTTAATCCTTATGCACTCAGCCAAATTTGAGAAGCTGAATTTGATTTCTCCCCCCTTCATCGTTCTGATGGATCCCTCATATTTAACAGTCACATGGCAGGCAAAATTGCCCTGGTCTTTGGCATGTTAGCTATAGCTACTAACACTGGGAAGACCAAATGGGTGAGTTAAGTTGGGTTTGCTTGTTTTTATAAACACTTGCCAAAATCCACATTTTCCTACTCGTGGAAAGAAAGAATTTTATATCCCCAAAATTCAAATCTGGGAGTCAGATGTGATCATCCCTAAAAGAGGATCATCGTTTTCTGTTTGTCTGTTAAACATCATCTTTCCAAGAGGAAGCTCCCTGATTCTATGCATATCTGGGGAAATGGCCTAGGAGAGCTGAGAATTTCTGCATATATAAACAAATGATTTAGAATGTATATTGGATTGTTCTTCTCTGCTCTATCCCACATGAACAGCTTTTTCCGGTGCATAAAAGGAGAAACAAGCCTCAGGTGCAATATGTGCTATTGTGCAAATATTTAACTTTATATGTGGATTTGAAATATGACTGATCCCCGTTTGATTCTCAGTGATACCTGGACTTTCCCTTTGGGATACTGCAAAACATAACGATGCTATGATGTTCCCTGATTTGGTTTTCTCATAATATTGCAGGCTGTACGCTGTCCCTATTTTTTCCTGATACCATTGTTCCTCCCAGTGTTTTCAGGGAAGCAGCTGGGAGACCCTTTTAATGGTGTAGCACTTAACTGAACTAATTTCTCAGCAAATAACTATCTTTCCACATGTCTCCATACCCTACAGAATGTCGGTATTGGCCTCTCCAGCATGCTGCTCTTGTTCAGCTTGCTGGAATTTTGTATCACTGTTTCACTTACACATTTTGGGTGCCAGGCAAATTGCTGTGCTGATGACCAAGTAAGTATTTGATACTTGATAATAGTTTTAGCAGCTCTTATTGAGAAGTTAAAGAAGATAATTACCCATTTTTCTTCTTATATTTACACCCCAGCCAACCTTACCTTTTGCTTGTTTCTTTATTATAACCCTGAACAATAGGTTAGGGCAGTGTTTTTCAACCTCAGCAACTTGAAGCCAGCATGTTGGATGGGGAATTCTGGGAGTTGAAGTGCACACAGCTTCAAGATGCTGAGGTTGAGAAACACTGGGTTACAGTAAGAGATTGGTTAATCTGAGATTACCCAGTCTATATACTACTAAAAGTATTGTGTCTGTAACCTTCAACTGGGACCCATTACTCCCATGGGATTGAAATTTGGGAAATTTGTGGCTGCTACAGCACTGCTGCACTGTTGCAATCAGCCCAGGTCACGTGATCGTCATAGGCATATCCCCAACCTCTTTCCTGCCTCCCTCTGTCCCCTGCACCAAATCGGCTGGTGGCAAAGGCCAACCGGCCAGCAGCAATTGGCTGCTTTGGAAACAAGGCCAACACTTGAAATCTCTTAACAGTAGTGCGTGTTGAGGGAAGGAGAGGTTGATTTGGATGCCTGCTGTCAAGGTAGGACTGGCTGGGGGACACTGGTGGTTGACGGTGAGCCCTCTTCCTTCAAGGAAGGGGCCCCTTGGGGACATGCCAGAATGGGGAGCAGGGGTGAGGTTTTCCTCACAGTCCGCGGCTCCCTTTGTTCCACCTCCCTCCAGCAGAGCGGCAGGCAGTTCTGTGGGTCAACCAAGGAGGAGGAGGAGGAGGTTTCACCAGAGCTTTCCTGAGGGGAGGGCAAATGGCACATGCCTATATGTCATGTGGAAGAGGGGAGGGGAGGGAGGGGTGGGTGGGCAGGCTGGCTGGCTGGCTGGCTGGCTGGCTGGTTGGTTTTTAATGCTTCCTGCCATCTTTTCACAAGGAAAATCAGTGGGGAAGCCGGCAGCAAGTCACGTTTTGCCAAACACTGGCCAGGTACAAGACAAGTGGTTCTTTCCGATCCAGAGACAATGAACACACCAGCAGGTGAGGAGATTTCAAGCTATATTGTTTACTCTAGCAGACAGATATAAATAGAAATACAAAGGCATAGAATATAAAAGCATAGCATACTAAGCATAATATATCAAGCAAAATGATAAAAACGCTTCCCCTATTGTTAGGAGTTACTATAAGGAGACAGCGGAGAGACCCCAAGATGGCTCCGATAACACAGCTCCTGGTACCGAGGCCTGTGTCCACGCTCCAAGGCTGAAAGGCCAAAACCAGGGTCTTTTAACCCTATCTTACACTAAACCTCATGACTCTGTTTCCATGGCACTGAGGCTCTGGGACCCAACCTTGACCAGATACTCCCCGGGGCCTGAGAATTATACAGATAAGCTAGTGCTTAATCTAAACAATTCTGAGAGTTTTCTCTTCTCTCCCCCCCCCCCCAAAATCCCCCCCAAATAAAGATGAAAAAAAAAAAAAAAAAAAAA